TTACAAAAAAATATATATATATATACTTACTATTATACTAAGTATTGGTGAAGAACTCCAAATATTTTATTTGCATGGGATTGAATTTTTTCTTTTGTCCATTTATTCTCCAACGAATCAGGCAATATTATATAATACATATATATATATATATATTGGTTCTTTATATAAGGAAGCTTGGTGTTGTTGTATCTTATTGATTTGGTAGCAACAATTTGGCTAGGCTTATGATTTCTTCTATTATTTTTTGGGTATTAAAAAGTGTTTTACTTGTTCCGGGTGATGGAATGGATCCAAATCTAAGCCTAAGGAGGAGAAAGTTTTGAACTTGAATATTTAATGGTGAATAGGTCAAGCGACTTGGCCAAGTCAAGCCAAATGCCAAAGCAGCCGGTCAAAATTTTCCCCCATCATATGACCCTCTCAACCCATTTTATCCTTAACTGCTTCCTATATATATATATATATATATAATCAATCCCCACTCATCCTCAACCTCCATAACCAGAAACCAAAAAAAGCCAGAGAAAATCAAAGAGAAAAAGCCATTACCCATTTCCCCATTTCTTCATAACCAGACACCAAAAACACACAGAAAGCTTTATTGTCATACCATTCATGGCTTCCCTACAAGCTTCAAGTACCCTACTTTTCTCTTCTTCTTCAAGAAGATTAGCCAATGCAGCTATATCTGTTCCTAAACTACCAAAGATCAACAAAGTTTCGGTTCCGAAAATCCAAACAAGATCAAAGCTTGTTGAGGAACTAACAAACGGATTTGTCAAGACAATCATTCCATTAGAAAGGACTGATGTTAATACTTACAACAGTGAAGAGGGTCAGACTGCATCAATGGAGATTAGAGCTCAGCTTCACGCCATCTTGGAGGCGGTGGCTGATAGAATAGAAATGCACAATAACATTGGCGAGCAGCGTGATAACTGGAACTCCCTTCTTCTTAACTCCATTAACATGATAACTCTCAGCGCTGCAACAATAGCCGCCATCGCAGCATCCGCCAATCCAGTTGGTGCTTCCCTTTTGGCCTGCAAGTTTTCTTCAACCCTCATGTTCTCTGCAGCCACAGGGATGCTGGTTATCATGAATAAAATTCAGCCATCTCAGCTGGTTGAAGAGCAAAGAAACGCCACCAGACTGTTCAAACAGTTGCAGAGAAGAATCGAAACGATTCTTTCTCTCGGCAATCCGACCGAAGAAGACGTAAAAGATTCAATGAAAAGAGTCTTGGCACTAGACAGAGCTTACCCACTTCCTTTATTAGGCGTCATGCTTGAAAAGTTCCCCAATAAATTCAAGCCTGCAACCTGGTGGCCTAAAGCAATGATACCAGACTCACTATCTCCGAAGAAGTTGCAGGGCGTTAATGGCTGGACTGAGGAGCTGGAAACGGAGATGAAAGAGCTTCTCCAAGTCATCAAGAGAAATGATAGTGAAGATTACGAGAGACTCGGCAATATAGCGTTGAAAGTGAACAGAACATTAGCCATCTCCGGGCCAACACTGACCGCCGTTGCAGCTCTCGCGTCTGCTTTCTTGGGAAATCCATCAAACGGGTGGTGGCCATCAGTCGTGGTATTGACATCTGCAGCAATGGCCGCTATAGTTAACAGCTTGGAGCACGGGGGTCAAGTGGGTATGGTGTTCGAGATGTACAGAAACAGCGCTGGGTTCTTCTCTGATTTGCAGGAGTCGATTGAATCCACGGTGAGTGAAAGTAACGCAGAAAAGAGAGAAAACGGAGAGTTGTTCGAGATGAAGATGGCTTTGAAGCTTGGTAGAAGCTTGTCAGAGCTTAGAGATCTTGCAAGAAAGTCTTCTTTACGTGTAGAAGGATCCGCCATTGATGAATTTGCCAGCAAGCTTTTCTAGATTTTTAGGAATTGATTAATTCTTTGATTCTTTATTTGTTAGAATGACCCAAAAAAAAAGTTGTACAACCATGTAATATACAAAGAACAAAGAGAAAAATTCTACAATTTTATAAATTATAATTACTTTTACATTAATTAAGGAGTGATTTACATAAGCCAATCATAATATAATATAATATAATATAATAATTAGTGTACGAATAATTATATTTACGTGATAATTATGTAATTAATTTTCTTTTAACAATATAATCATTATATATAAATGACACAGTCAATTAGTAAAAAGCATATATTTAATTGATTACATAATATTTACACAATAATAATAACATAATATGTTGATAGCACAAATAACATAATCTCTAACTAAATAATTGTGTACGTTTTAAATATATTTTTAATTGTAATATAAATATAAATAAATTTTCAATAAAAATACACATAAAAATATAATTCAATTCGAACTCACAATTTTTTATAAAAGAAAATAATATATCAACCATTACAAATTAATTTTAAATATAAATATATGAAAAAATATCGTCTAAATCAAACTTATAATTTTTATTGTGGAAAAAATAGTGTATCATATAATATTATTAAATATTTGATAATCTTACCAATAAAAATCTTTTTAAAAATGTGACTAATTCTTCGTTTACAAAGACTAATAAATGTTTTTATTATTTTAAATAAAATTTATATTTTTTAAAAAAATTATTTTATAAAATTTAACGAAAAAAATTATGTAAATAATTATAAAAATTTACACATATTAATAAAGATGAAGATGTAAAAATTACAAAAAAATACCGGTTCGAGAAAATCCTAATCAGAGTTTTTAAATTACTATATTTACACGTATGTTTTTATTTGATAACTCTAACTTGATACAGTATCGTACACACACACGCAAAATTTCTCACGAGGCTCCATCGCCTGCATCGTCTCAATTCGAGTTTTGAGAATTTTCACATTTCGACATAATTATCAAAAGTAATGAAAATTTAATTTATTTATTAATAAAAATAAAATTAATATTATAAATTGAATTTAAATAACATCCAAATATAAAAATTAAAAGAAAAAAAAAGATGGCTTACCTTAAAATTGAATAGTTGAATTAGAATTCCGAAAGCTTCAAGATCTCAATTGGACGACTGTGATCATTCCTGTGTGTTGACTTTTCTGACGGGGGTAGAATTTATAGGAGCTACCAAATTAAACGATAAATTTAATTAGACAGTGTAATTAGAACAACTAAATTAATTAAACAATTTAATTAGTATATAATGATAAAATTAACTGGATAACTTCAATCAATACATAATTTAATTATGTATAAAATTTGTGTTTAGAAAAAGGACATGGAAAATTTGTATATATATATGTACTTCTTTTATAATAATTAATTAATTAATTATCTAAAATTATTAAAATTAATTATTTATTATCATATTTATGATTAAAGAAATAATTAATACAAATATGTATATATTTTATTCGATTAATATAATTAAAAATCGTATTTTTCTTGAATAATGAAAATCACCATTATTGGATCCTATTCCAAGCTGACAACTTTCCTCATTTTCTCTCGGACCCTCTCTCAAATTAATAAACCCAGAGCCTCTTTTGACTGACCCTTTCTCGGCAACCCTAGACGTAACCTTTGTTCATCGTCGGTAATCAGGTGTCTCTCTCGATCTACTGGTGTTTATATAAAATTTCTATATGCATGGAGTGTATGTTTATACATATATGTGTGTGTGTGTACATGGGTATGGATATCAATAACCCTGTATGAGTTTATGCTTCTCAGATCTGTATTGGGTAGCTAATCGGAAAATTATAGGTGTTATATCGAATATATGATCTTCTGTATTATTAGGGAAATGGAAAATCTTAACAATTCTCTTTTTGTTAATTTGGTGATTTTTTTTTTCCAGCTCTTGTCGTTAACGGAGAAATGATGTGGTCGACTATAAGGCGAAAAGCTGCTCATGGCGGCTCCTCTGCTTCTCTGGTTAGTTTGATACTCATCCTATTTAGTTATTCGGATGCTGATTTCTTTATTATATCTAATTGTCTTTACGTGTCTGTTTGTGTCTGAAGGAAATTGGGTTGGAATTAAATAATCTTCTGTGTTTTAACTGGATTGTGTTCTTCCTTTCTGTTGAGGGGAATAGATTATTGGGAAATCTTTGAGGAATACTCGATCAACTGGGGAGTTAGCTCCACGATGGTATGGCACTGCAGCTAAAGAGGTGATGAGTTTGATAACCTTTATATTGAAATTTCTGAATTCTGAATTGTGCCAATTTCAATGCCTGTTTATGGTTTGAAGTTTATGATAGAAGTATATATTTATTGTATACTGGGAACCAAGTAAAAACTTTATCTTGAGGTTGCGTCTGGAGAAGTGATGAGATGTTTTTAGCTTTTAGAACCGTTTAGTATGTGGCGGATTGTCTTGGATTGCTTTGCCTTTACTCCTTTTGTTTGTTTCTGAGTTTATTGGGAATCAACATGTTTGCACCTGCGCTATTAGGGTTGGGTGATATATCAATCTGTTGCACAACATTGCTTTCTCATGTTTTTTTTGAAAGAACATTGCTTTCTCATGTTGGAGAAGGAATCGTGAAATTCTATGGGGGTGGCATTCTTTTGGAGTATTTTTAAAAACTTTTTGGGTCTTCCTCCTGGCAATTTCAGAACAGGTCCGGAAATTGTATTGATGAAATCATTGTTTGTGATGGAGTCCAAGATTTATGGTAGATATTTACTTATAATTCTTCCCTGATCTGTTTCGGATAATGCCATAATGGCATTAAACTGCAAGGTTGCAACACTTTTTTGATGCGTTATGACGTGGCCATTTAACGGCTATCCTTTCGCCTTTCTCTTAGAATTGTCTTGAATTGTTAGTTTTACAGGATCAAGTTGTAACGGACTTTGGGATTCCAAGCCGAAATTTCTGTGATTAATGATGTTGTTCTTGTCTGTATTAACGCCACAGTTCTCCTTTCCCGCCACTTCTTTATGTGATTAAGCTTAAAGCTTTATCTGTCTGCTAGTTTAGTACCTTGGAAGCTTTTTAAATTTTGCTTTCTGAACATCTCTACAGACATTACTTTCAAGACAGGGATCGCAAATAGCAAGGATTGCTGGTCATCATTGTTATCTAGGTAATCATTTAAAAAATCCCACAAGCCTTTGGCATTGAACTTTTCATATGCTTTCAGTCTCTATTCTGTTATTCATCTGCTTTATATTTCTTCTGGTTCTAGGTTCTCAACTTAGCTCAAAGGCTGCAAGGTACACTTGAATCTTCTTTTTAGTGTTTTGTTAATAATAAATTTCCTTTTATTTCTTTATCTTTTTCAAATCTCTTTTCTTTTTAACTAGTCTTCATACCGAAAGAATTCTGTACGTGTTACCTGGTTTTTTGTTGCTTGAATCTTCTGCCTTCAAATGAAAAAAAAGAGCTTTCTTCTTTTTCATTAGTATTTCTTTAGAATATCATTTTAATACCAGTTTTTCTGAACATGCAGAGAAATCTCATTTCTTCAGACACATTCTCCTCT